CTCTGATAAAATACATTATTGTGCCAGATCGTTTGGCAATGAGTTGTTATTGAGGCTAACCCTTATTGGAAACTGTTAGCGGAGATAACCGGTTAGAGGGGTGTCTACTAGTCCGCAACGAATCCGAAAATAGGAGTTGCCACGAAAGTTGCAAAATTCGTCGCTTTTGCCGCATGGAATAACTGGTGCAAACATCAGAGGTAATAGTAAGTATGAAGAAGCTGCTATATTTCTAGTACGGTTGAAAATTATGTATCGTCGTTTATTGGACAGCTGCATAAGTGCTTGGTTTACTAGATTGTAGACGACTTGACCTAACCATGTATTGAAAAAGGCGAAATCCGCCGCAAAGTTAGCTCATCAAAAAAAATAACTTACTGTTTTTCAATATTGATGCTAACAGAAAGTCGTTATAAGGTGGAGTATATATTAGCTACTCAAGGATTCTATAATGTAACTTCTCGAAACATCTTCGAGACTTCTGATACTGTTTATTGCCGTGATTCTTTCCTTTAACTTTGGCTTGTGACATGTGTAGCGCAATTCTCGGAGGCGCCCTGCAACACACGCATGGAATCGATCATCGCGCCTATGAGCCACCAAATCTTCCATCCTTCCGGGGTCAGCAAATTTTTACCAGACTTGTCTGGTAGGAGAGCAACATTGGGTCGTTACAATTGGTAGACTAACGTGAGTCACTGTAAGAGCCAGATTGGCATCCAATCACCTCAGAACGATGCTTAATGCAGTCGAATCATGGCGCATTCCTCAGCGATTGGTCAACACCAAGAGCTCTGTCCTTTTGTCCTTTCTTCTACCAATTCAAGAACCAATAAAAAATTGGGAAGAAGTTTGATTGTCGTTTGGTAAGAGTCTCCACATTTTGCGAAACTAATTGCAAGCACCTGAAACACGTCCTGTGCTATCACTGTTTACTAATTCCTTTGTAGTTTCTTCTTTCATGATTTTTTTGGCCCTATTTCCGAAAGGAACTCGTTTAATTTCTTTGTTAATTATATTATATTTTAAATTATATTTTCAACTTCAACCTTCTACAGCATCTATACCTGAATATGTTCATAGGCATCGTTAGAGGTGATTGAATGCATATGTGCCCTATGCGATAACTCGGGGTGGCCTACCGATGTATCGAGCCAGTGCTGCTATCCTCCCAGACAAGTCTGATACCGATTTGCCGACCCCGGAGTAATTGAAAGCTTGTCTGGCTATGAGCTCCGAAGTCGATTCTACGTGTGTGCTACAGTGGCGCTTCCAACCACTACGGCACAAGCGCTCTGCTGCTTCCTTAACCACAAATAATACGGCTGCCTGTATGCTTTTCCATCCTTTTTAACCTAAAGGTGTATGTTAACATTATGCATAGCACTATAGGAACCTAGCAATCTAGCAATACTTCGTCGAATGAAGATTGAATGAGATTGAGGTTATTCTTGCTTTATATTTCACTCCGTCTCCATATCCTTTGAGCCACGCGCCGACGTGTAGTGTTGTAATTTTTGGATTATCCGTTAGAGGTCCAGTTTTGGGCAAAGGTCAAGACAACGTTACGGGGGTAATCAAGTAGTGGTGTTACTATATGACAGTTTATTGCCAACAACATCTAACGAATACTTCCTTAGTAAGTTTTTGAGTTTCAAATGCCTTTCGTTTTTTCCTCAAATGCTGCTAAGCGAGCGAACCTTTGTTAAAGCGTCTTTCCTCGTTCTCCCTTATCCTCTCTCATCCACAGTTGCTGCTAGCTTGGGTGTCTCCACAAGCAGTTTCGATGTTCAGCTAACTCTACGTGTATTCCTAGGGATGTCTCAAATAAGAAAGAAGACTGGGGACAAAATGATGATTATCATAGTTACAGCTGTCACTTTAGGAGATGAAGCTCGAATCACAAAAACTGTTGTCTAAAGGACAGTCATGGCCACAATGCGATCTGTTCTCTATTTAATGTAAGGGCTTGTGATAACCTTTTGTTCGTGAAATAAAATAAAATAAAATCTCTCGGCGTTGATCAATTCCTTACGGATGCGCTATGCATTCAACTTCATTAAGTATCGTTGGAGGTGATTGAATGCATATCTCTGGCCTTTACAATGACTCGCACTGGCCTACCGATTTATCGAACCAATGCCGCTATCCTCCCAGACCAGTCTGGTACCAATTTACCGACCCCGGAGGGATGGAAGGCTTGATGGGCCATGAGCGCGGGGATCGATTCCACCTGTGTGTCGCAGTAGCACCTTCAACCACTGCTCCACACTCGTGTTCGTGAAATAGATGAATAAATTAATGTGAGACTTTATTAAGTATCACTGGTAGTCTTAGAGATAAAGAACGTATTTGCTCTCACTCTGGCGACTTTTGTGCTTGGTTCTATAAAATATTTATCGCCAAGTAAATACAGCGATGAGTTTCCTAAACAATTTCGTCTTTCTCTATTTTCTTTCCGTTCAGTCATTATTAGTTCCTAATTAGAATGCATTATATGCCATTTCTGTTTATACCTAGCAAGGTTAAAGGATAGAGCGTTGGACGTTGATCCCATTGGGACAAATCTTGCACTTCCTTGAGTGGTTTAAGCATTTTAGCCAGCAAATTTGATCCGCACTACGAGTAGCGGTGACTTACCGATAATTCAAGTTAATAAACATTTTAATTTTCTCAGACAAGTCTTTTACGAATTTGCTCATTTCGAGAGGACGCAGTTCGCTTAGAGCTCGGACGCACGATGAAGCCAACAACGATCTGCTCATTGAAGGCACCTTCGGCCACTGCTCTGCATCAGCCGCAGTGTATCCCTATACACATTCTTTCCTTCACAGTTCTGATTTAAACGCAGCTTATGAATTTACTATCACTAGTGATGACCAACCTCACTGGTGGAGACCAACCTCTCGGGAGTTGAATGAATGGGTAATGCGTCTATTCCTTATCAAAATATCGGTCCAAGATATTGTGTGGGATCTCACGTGATAATAATGCCTTCCTCCATGTTGTTCATTTTCGGATTCTCGCGATGTATGCGGAATTGTTCCAGAGCGTTATGAGTTGATGGTTTAGAATCTTGTGGGAAAATGCTCATTTCAACTTTAAAATCGCACTGAGTGGAGTATTCTGTTCAGCTTTACATTTACTATCCAACCACGACCGACTTTCTATTAACCTCGGCATTGATCAAGTGATTTTCTTCGTATTTTTGTTGAGCAAACGACAGGTGTTACTATTCTTTAGTAAATACCGAAAACTAAACCACGAATGGGCCAAAATGGCAAGGGCTGCTGGTTTGAAACCATCAGTTATCTCTCAACTTAAACTTGCCTTACCAACATGCCCCATCTTGTACTTACTTATAAAAACTCATAAGTTAGTATCCAGCGATGATCTTGCGTCTAACGATCCATCACTATTTAAGGTTAGACCTATCATTAGCTGCGTAGACGTGCCAACGGACAGGATAACATGGTTTTTAACACTAATATTTAACCAGTTGTTGAAACACATTCCAGCCCATCTTACGAATACCCAGATGTTTCTGGATCGTCTACGTACTGCGCAGCCCAACAGCGCGTACGTGATGGAGTCCTTCGACGTTACCGCCCTTTATACAAACGTGTCGAATGACTCCGCAATGCAAGCCATATTCGAACTCCTTACACAACACGAAGGAGAAATAAACATGTATGGCTTCAGGATAGAGCACCTGATGGCACTCTTAAAAGAATGCTTGAGCTGCTCAATCTTCAGATGGTCTGGAAAGTACTACGCTCAAATAAGAGGGTTGGCGATGGGACAACGACTGGCTCCAAGCCTTGCCATTGCATTGATGTCTAAGGTGGAAGCACCGGTGACTGAACTCGGGCCGCTACTCTACTGTAGGTATGTAGACGACTGCTTTATCCTTTGCTCAACACAAGAGGAAATGGACAAATGCTTCGAATTGTTAAACGCACAGTCAGAGTATATCAAGTTCACCCGAAAAAAGCCGAAAGAAAAATGGCTTCCATTTTTGAACGTACAAATTCACCTATCAGAAAATGGCTACATTACAAAGTGGTACCGAAAGCCAAGTAGTAAAAATATCTTGGTTCATTACCTTTCCTCTCACCCCTCTCACACGAAAAGGGCGCTTATAAGAAACATGTTTCGAACAGCAACCAACGTGTGCACGGGAAGAGAGCAGAGAGAGGAGTCCCGCAACTTGGCACGGCAAATAGCCGTTTCTAATGGCTACGAAACTGTAGCTCAGAATAGGTGTAGAGGAAATCGTAGGNTTCGAATTGTTAAACGCACAGTCAGAGTATATCAAGTTCACCCGAAAAAAGCCGAAAGAAAAATGGCTTCCATTTTTGAACGTACAAATTCACCTATCAGAAAATGGCTACATTACAAAGTGGTACCGAAAGCCAAGTAGTAAAAATATCTTGGTTCATTACCTCTCCTCTCACCCCTCTCACACGAAAAGGGCGCTTATAAGAAACATGTTTCGAACAGCAACCAACGTGTGCACGGGAAGAGAGCAGAGAGAGGAGTCCCGCAACTTGGCACGGCAAATAGCCGTTTCTAATGGCTACGAAACTGTAGCTCAGAATAGGTGTAGAGGAAATCGTAGGCCTCCAAACGACAACTCTAGCGATAGAAGGGTCCCGTTTATCCTACCCTTCATCTCAAATGATATAAGTACAGCTATAAAACGCTGCTTAAGAAGGGCGGGCTTAGAGAATTCGGTGAGCGTAGTTGAAATACCACCGAGTAATCTTAAGCGCCAGCTAGTTCGTAACCGCCTATATGACCGTCTATGTGCAACTCAAAATTGCATAATTTGCCCCAGTGGTAGAGACGGTGATTGCATGAGCTCGGGTATAGTTTATCTGATCTCCTGTAAGACGTGTGGTGACGAATACATTGGCGAAACGGGTAGACCCCTCTGTGTCCGCATGAAAGAACACCTAGCCGGCAAAAATAGACCAAATACCCCGCTAGGCACGCCTAGGACCCAGAGACATAACGGGGACGACTTCGAAGTATGTGTCACGATCCTCGCACGTGAATCAAGAACACAGGCGCGAAAAACTCTCGAGGCACTCTGGATTAATCCCAGAAATCCGAAAATGAACCGCAGGGATGAATGCCTCATTATCACGCGTGATATAGGGCAGTATATAAAACTGCTTTTCTGATGTGAGGGGCACATTATACTTCCACGTGATTTCTGTGCGGTTGGTCTCTACGTGACATACTTAGTGGAAACCTCATAGAAAGCGGTGAGTGTGCAAAGCTGTGTTCAAAGTGATTGAAATCTTGGTTTGGAGTTTCTTTGTTTGGTTATGGAGGCGTCTGGCCGAGTGGATTGCTATCAACTTGACCTTTCCCGGCTCTGAAGAAGGCGAAATCCGCCGAAACGTCAGCTTAATCGTGGACAAAGAATAGTAACACCTCGCGTTTGCTCAACAAAAATACGAAGAAAATTACTGTCCAGCGTTTTTTTTGTAAGAACACACAGCCGTCTGCCAGTTCCGCTAATGAGTTAGTTACGGCACGCTTTACGAGAGGTCAGATAAACCTACCAGAACTCGTACAATCGCCACACGTATCGCTATGGCATACAGTCCAATTCTGCGTTGTGCACAGACGGTCACAAACCGGTTGCTAACTATTAGCTCTTCAGAAATAAATGAGTGCTTTTAACCATATAATTCCAAATGACATAACTTGCTTCTGACAAAACTTTATTAGTCAAAATAAAAGCCATTTGAAGTGGCACATTTTTGCCAACGAGAGACAAATTTATTTCCTCCAGCTGCTTACAATGTTGCAGTTCTGGAAGCGATGATTTCGTTGAAGGCATTCTTTGCGTCATCGTGATTGGTGAAGCATTTCTCGCGCAGAAAATCGTAAAGCTGCTTGAAGATGTGATAGCTGATAGGCGTGAAATCTGATGAATATGGCGGATGAGGCAAAGTTTCGTAGCCCAACTCGTTCATCTTCTGCAGCACTGGTTCCGTGACGTGAGCGAGGCGTTATCGTGGAGAAGGATTGGTCCTTTTCTGTTAACTAATGCCAGTCGTTGTTGTCAAAGTTTACGGTGTATCTAGTCGATTTCTTGGCAATACTTCTTTGTTGTAATAGTTTCGCCCGGATTCAAAAAGCTGTGGTGAATGAGCCCGGGTGTAGACCACTAAGCAGTCGCCATAATTTTTTTTTTTGCTGCAGACTCGACTCTGTGAAGTGCTGCAGAGCCTGGTCGCAATTCAACCATTGAGCTGAACGTCGCCGCCTGTCGTACAGAACCTTCTTCTAGTCGCACGTCACATTTCGATCAAGAAAATGGTCGTTTTTATTGCGCAAAATAATTGCAGACGATACTTAACAACGTCGACTTTTTTGATGATCGCTTAATTCGTGCGGCACCCACTTATCGAGTTTTTTTCTTTCCTATGCGATTCAAGTGAGTCGGAATTGTTTCTGTGCTTACGCCAAACTGTTCTGCAAGCTCTCGAACAGTTGTTCTCATGTCTACTTCCACTAGTGTCTTCAATTCGCCGCCGCTAAGTGTATTGAGACGCCAGCGGCCTTCCTTACCTTCGAGGTCGAAATCACTAGATCGGAATTTCCGGAATCACGTTCGCAGTGTTGATTCTCAGCAGTAACTTCACGCCAAACTTCATTAGTGTTCCAAGCCGTCTCTGCTGCACTACAATCGAGTCTATCTCTACATCTACAATCTACAAATGCACTACAACTCAAAAAAGAAAAACCGACCGAAATTCGTTTTTGACATCTAAAATTACAAAGCTCAAAATTGATAAGAAATTTAAATTTCGCCAAAATATGAAGGAGGTTTAGAAAGAACATGAAATTAGCTTTTTAATGGTATACGTTATTGCAAAGTACAAAGAATATTTTATTGTTGAGACGTACATGAAAGCAATAATTATTTTAGAACGCTCGTTTATTTCCGAACAAAATAATTCTATTAGAGCTGTTCTAACTGGTAACAACAGATAAAGTTCTCCTGTGGCCCTGGAGGGCTTGTCATACTTCCTTCGAAAACAAACTGACAAGAAGCTTTCATCAGAACGTCCAGTAATTACCACTGCTAAACTATAGGTAGTATAAAATACCATGCAAAACCTTCAGAATTTTCCAACCTTCGCGCTTTCAGATTCTTGTCTTTGCTTGGTGCGTGTGGCTTGGTCACAAAGCATTGTGCTGCGTTCCTACACAAGGAACTACGACGATTCGACCACCACCACCGCCACCACCTTTACCACCAGGTCGGTTTTGTGGAATAAATTGTCGTGCAAAACACTTGGAAAATAATTTCTTTAAATTGATAAAAAAATTTATGAGAAAGCAAAATCAATCAGGCAAATGTTATTTTCTTCAATTCTGTCTGGTACCATAAATTTTCTTCTCGTTCATCCAGTGTGTCAAGTTAAGCCAGGTGCAAAATCCGTGATATCTCGCTATTATTCGGTGTCCTTTCTTCTCGTCGTACGTGATATCTTTGGTAGGAATGTAGGAAAAAAACACCGCTGTTCCCTTCTTGGTGGAGAATAAACAGACTAGAGCAAGTAACTAATAATCATTGTTAACCAGATAGAAAAGGGATGAAAATTTAGGATGTTGCCCAGCTTTGGAGCAGACGACGGGATCCGGAACATTCTTAGATGGAGTCATGACGTTCACTTACAACAACGACATGTGCAGAACAACTGTCGTTGCGGTTTGCTCGTAAGCACTTCAACTTTTGAGAATCCCATCCTTCGAAAAGAGGAAAAAGTACCTTTGATGATTAGTATGAGACTTTTGATTCAGCTGCTGTCCCATGAAACATGAGTCGTTCTCAAACAAAGTTCTAGCATTATTTTCTCTTGTTCCTCCTGTAACTTTGAAAATCCACCACGATTTTACTTCGCGCCGAATGAAAATATTCGAACGAATTTAGATATATTGTTGATACTTATTGGCTTAATTGTCTGTAACGGTTTGTTAGTTCTAAGCACTGTGAAAAAGTAAGGGATTAATTTTAAAGAAAAGCCATCCTTTTTAGACAAAGCGATCCACTACTTAATCAGTTTGCTGCAATTGTCGCTAATGGAGAATTCTTTCTGGACATAGCTGCAAATAGTGTTAGTTTCCCAGGAACTTGCAATACGACGAATCAGACATGGTAAGCGATCAAGTCAAAAAGCTTAGGTGACAAAAGCGTAGTTTCTTTATTGCGGAATAAGATCACCATTTTGACATAAAAGTTTAACGATATATATTTATGATTACTAGGAATTGTAGTGACAAATAACTAGCCTAGTGGAAAAATATTTTTACATTCTTAAAATTTATCATTGAATACTGGAAAATATTCTTAAATAAATGACAATAAGTTATACATCGCGCGTAGTAAAGTGGTTTCAGATGCTATTCAACACGGAATTGATCACTAGTTCTATCCCACGCGCTGGGCTAGTCTAACCGCCGTCCAATTCCTAAGAGTAGGCAAATTGGTACCAAAGAGTATGGGAGGGAAAAAATACTGATTTAATAGTGAATTGGTACTGTGGTAGGCCACCACAAATTATTGTGCTCGTTCGAGGAGAATCCAAGGCGCATCCTTCAAGTCGAGTCAAGGCCGAACGCTTTATCCTTCTATGTTTTACGTTATTAAAATGTGCATTGCTTGCCTTACCTTATTTTCAAATACGTCGACCTATAAAAATGATCTTAGACAATTAAAACGAATTTCCCATTCGAGCTTACAACTAAAACTATTCGTAGAGCAGCGGAAACGATCTAGAGGGCTGAAGTAATTGCTGATGGATATACAGTAAAGTTTATGTTAAAGAGCTTTGCAAAGGAGATGATCGGATGTTCTTTGTTCTCACCACTAAATCCGATGCTCTTGAAAGCTTCCCAAGCCGTTCGCTTTCTTTTGCTCATCTCTGGAGTTATGCGGTTGGTCATATACTTTCCATGCTACATAGAGATAATACGGAAAAATTCATTCCCCTAAGAGATAACGGAGCAAAGAAAACCATTTTGTTCCTCGGCTTCTCAGATTTAGTCGAAGCCCATCATTCCACAGGCTTACTCAACGCCAGCTTCCACTATCAAAGGCTTCCACGACCGCTTCTATCTCAATTGTGTAGAAAGCCTTTTTAAATCAATGAAAGTGAGACAGAGTAGTCGTTTGTACTCTCGTAATACTTCAGTAAGTCTTGTTATTAGGTAGATATGGGCCGTCGTATTGAATTCTTTTTAAAGTTCTCCTTGCTCACATTGCTGTTTTTCGTCCACTGTTCTGTCAATCCCGATGATTCGAGTAAAACAGTTGTGGACGTCAGACAGATCAAGCATATTGCGCGATAGTTGCCGATGCCGTCGAGGTCACCCCTATTAAACATTAGCACGGTCTTGCTGGTCTTCCATTGAGAAGGGACCTTACATTCAGACAGGTTACGTGTGAGGAGCCGAGTTAGTGTGTTTATGAGGGCTGGCGGAAGGTTTCTCAGGTGTTCTGGTCTTATCCTGTCCGGACCTGGTGCTGTTCGATTTTTCACCGTCGAAATAGCATGTCGGATTTCAGAGGTGAGAACCGGTGGTACAACATATCCGTCGTCCTTTATTTCGTATGACAGAAGGTGGACGTGGCTGTCGATGTGACCCTAGTAGTATTCATGAATGATTTTCTCCATTGCCTTTCTGGACGCTGTAACTATTCCGCCTGGGTGTCGGAGTGCTGTCGTCTTGTTCTTGTAATTGTCGAAGCTTCGGTGGGCTTTGCGAATGCTTTTCCCAGCCTCTGCAGCTTCGACCATAACTGCTGCTCATCTTTCTTTAAGATCGTCTTTTATCGTTTGTCTGCATTGTTTTGCAAGTTCGGATGTTAGATCGCGGTTGTCTGCAGCATGTGCGATTCCATGCTGGCGTGTTAGCTCAAGTGTTTCCGAAGACAGACTACTCTTTGTGACTTTCGATCTTTCAGCTTTCATAGCGCTAACGCGAAGATGTTGAATGGGCCGATTATGTTCCTCGTCGATGTTATCGACAGCGGTGTCTTCCCAATAGCCGACTAATAAGTTGAATAAGACCCAATTTATAGTGGTTTTGCGACTTCGTTTTTTGAATTCAGCAACTTTTTCTCTTTTCTGTGATAAATGGAATCTTGCACGAAGGAGATGGTGGTTTGGCCCCGCATAGAGTTTTAGAACAACAACGACATAATATAGGCAAAACCTTCGATTTACTATGATGTAGTCTGTTTCGTTATGGCACTCTCCATTGGGAGTCTCCCACTTCCAGCGTCAAGGGCGATGCTTCTGAAATTGCGAGTTACTATGGATGATCTTGGTCGTCATGATAAACTCAGACTTCCGTTCACCCTGTTCGTTCCATTCTGATCTACGGGTCTCAATGTGACGCTCTTCAGACGTCCTTCTTGGTCCAATCATAGCGTTGAAATCTCCAACTTTTTCAGATATAAGCGTTGAAATGGTAAAATTTGATAACTCATTGTCACGTCAAATGCCAGCATTGAGCGGCTGAGTGCTCTAGTACCATGGGCAATATATAATTAACCACATAACTCCAGAATTCAAGTAGCAGAAGAACGTATGGTCTTCAATGTAGAACTTCTCGAAGTCCATATAGAATGCTTCGACTTCCTCTTCGTTATAGTTTGATGTCAGCGCATAAACGACGATAATTGTCGCCTGGTAGTAACCGCGTCTCTCAGGCGGGAATTAGCACAAAAATTCGAAGATGCACAGTGTTTCCTGGAAATCTGCTGCAGAGAAACTTGAAATGCTTACACAGCCAAGTAACTGTGCTCGTTGTTTCCCTGCTTATAAGCAAAAATGGCTCCTCGTCACATAACGTGCAAGTCCGAACATTTATTCCACTTGTTTTGTGTTCTTGTAATAGTGGTTCATTGAGATGA